TGTTGATTCTGTGCTCGCTGTGTTTCTCCTGTACAGGTAACAGTGAGCAACTTATAATTATATTAAGTGTGTAATGAACAAAAGCACTGCCAAGAAACAGAACAGAGTTAACAGAGTTAACAGAGTTCTTTACACAGATACAGAACTTCTGATAGAAAATCAGCTCACACTCTGTTAGTTTAGAATCACCACCGTAGACTTTCAGATCCCATCCTGGTGCAGTGGCGGGCTGCTGCTGCTGATAATGTCACCTGGCTCAGTCGGTCTTAGCAGGCAGAGGACTGTGAGGACAGCTGAGAATGAGAATCTTAACACAGATTGGTATGTTCCACCCTGGTAGCACAACAATGCCCTCAAGGTTAGAGCGGCCCTCTGAACACGAGGTGTGAAAACCCGGTTACGATGAGCGCAGGGCAAGATGGCGGACGCAGGTGGTCATGCTTTCTCCGGCCATACGGGAGCACGTTACACTTTCCCTAAAGCACATTAACTGCTCTTATGACCTGATGTGCACCAAATGAGCAGCAAAACACTGTAAATACACCATATTAACACAATGCGGCTACGGTTTTAGCTGCACCCCCGCATGATGTCAGTAGGTCAGCTGCTTTAGTCCAGACTCCGATCTGTCAACAAGTCTGGGATGATTGTGTGTATTGACTTGTTATCCTTGGACTTTTCATAGTGCTGCGGTTTAGAAGAGTTGGATGTGTCCAACATTTGGTTTAGGATCAAATAAATCATCCTCAGCCTTACTTTGTTTTTAGCACTAGTAGCAAGGATCCGTTGCAGGAACTCGGGGTAGACGCAAAGTGTCAGGTCATCATGAAAGCTTTCACTCAGCGACCCACAAACTCAGCAAATTTAGCTTGTTCACATGTACCAGACAATGTTGCATGCCCTCAATGACTCTGGAGGATAGCGCCGCCTGATGGCTCACAGACGGCATAACTACTGAGTACAGAGCAGCAGAGCGGCACGCAGCGAGCCTGTGAGTCTGAGCTCAGGGCAAAGAAACATTGGTGAGGCCTGCTTGACTTGTATCTGGTGATTTGTCTGTATTTCCAGCACCTGCAGCCAAATACTTAGACTTTTCTTCTATTGATATCTTTGAACGCATCAAAAAATCTCACTGCAGACACACAGATTGAGATCCAGACACACAACTCTCCACACACATGTACAAATACTTCTGCTACAACAATGCCCCCGTACATACACCTCTATGTCATCAGGGCACGATGAAGCTGTCCTGCAGGTCGCCAACATGACAGACACCAGAAACATGTCGGGAGAACACGTCAAGAGCAGAACCTTTAGACGGAAGTACAGGACAGCTGAGAACTGGGACCATATGTAGGGAGAGTTATGTGGAGGCTTATAAGACTGCTGGAGTTGAGGAGCCGGCGTGCGGAGCAGTCGGGTGTTGAAAGGATCTCGTTAGACAGTGCAGAGGTCTTGGAGGAGAAGATTCTTCACCCTGCTATGTCTGAGACGAGTTATCGCTTCGTAGACAGGATCGCTCTTTGCATGGTGCAGAAATAGCTCTGCTGATCCTCATGACGGCTGCAGACACTTGTGTATTCAAACTACTTCCTCAGCCGCGATGATGCATCACATACGTGTCTATAGAAGCTAAAATTACCCCTTCAGTGTCTTAATTAGTGGAAATTAAATCAATGATGGTTAAATGGATGTTGAATCATGATTAAGACATAATTGACATGAGCTCATAAATGCTGTGTTAGCTCGTGTTTAATTGATATAATTATAATAATATAATGGAGACTGGAAACATCACTATTTTTCTGGATTTGCCATCAAACACGTACACATACATCATAACGGCTGCCAGTTCTCAGAGGGACAGATGACACTTAAGCTCAGCCGAAGGAATCTCAAAACAATTTCACAGGTTTATCTTTGTCCTCAAGGGTAAATGGAAGGAAACAATGCCAGGCCAACAAGAAGGAGTGTGGAGTTACAGTACGAAGCAGCGGTTTGTGCCAGTATATAGGGTGGCGGCCTGAATGACAGCTGCACCGGGGGTGATGTTCACACTTTGGAGGCTGAGTGTGAACATGCGGCAAAGGAAACAAAAGCAACGACTTAAGTAAAGGGCCTCGGTTTGATATCATTCCCATCATCGTGTGTCAGATGGATTGTCATTAAGAAATAGCTGGGATGCAGACAGAGACAGTAAGTGTCGGGTTGGCAGTCCTGCGTCTGCTCAAGGCTAAGTTTGACACCATGCGTCACATGTCTTTGTGGTCAGTCTCCGTGTGCCAGGGACATTTGTAGTGGCTTTATGAAAGCCACGTGGTCGTCAGCTCAAGGACAAAAGGAAGGAAACAACGGGCCATCAACGCCTCTCAGCCTGCTTTGTTTTCAAGACATTGTGTCGGGAAGCTTACAGCCGGCTGGTGTTGGCACCCAGAGGAGCAGCGTCACATTAAGATAAAGGTTCAAATATTCATCAGACATATGATAAAAGATGTGAAGGTTTGATCCTCAGTATGTTATTAGAAGACACAAAAATAAATTTCTCATACTTTAAATGCATTTTGACCACTTACAATAAAGCGAAGGTGTCATTTTGTAAACAGATTAAAACACAAAATGTACCTGCTGTCCAACAAACCTCCGTCGTCCAGATCAGGCCAAAATACCACAAACTTTAATCCCAGATGAGCCTCTGATTCTCACAACCCAGCTCCATCCTGGATGAAGGATCAGAGACCATACATGACGTTTAACTAAAAATAACTAAAAATAAACCTGAAACAAATGAAATACAAACAGAACAAAACCAAACAAGCCAGACAGCGAGGGAACCGGGTGGCAGCCATCTTGATGACACGTCCAGGCTGTTATTGCAGGGTAACAAAAACCTTTTTTCCCCCTAAAGTTGCCTCATAATAAGGTATAAAAAGCATTTTCTTCACAGGTTCTACTTCTACTATGCATTTGCATGCTTGCAGCAGTGCAACAACACAGCTGACTGGATGTTTCCCAGTTTGTTTTTTACCAAACACATGATGAGCTTTTTGGGGGGGAGGAGATTAAAATGTGTTCTACGACCACCATGTTTGGCATTATGGGATTAAGGAGGTCAAAGATTTCTATTCAGGAGTCTAGGTCTGTCTTCTATCAGCATCAGGAGGATGTGAACGACTTTGACAACGACCAAACTGGGCACATGAGTGTTAGAACTGGACCATGCAGCTGGAGGAAGGTGACCTGGTCGGATCAATCGCCAGGTGTGTTGTTTACCTGTAGTAGAGACGGCAGCAGGAAAGGAAGAAGATAAGACAGACGCTCTGTGCGATGTTCTGCTGGGAAACCTTGAGTCCTGGCATTCATGTAGATGTACCAACTAGCTCATACCTCTTCATGTCAACAGAAGTGGCCTTTTTCAGCGTATGCTAATAATGCCACACTGCCAACATTGTTCAGGAATGGTTTGAGGATCATGACAAAGAGCTCAAGGTGTTGACTTGGCCTCCTGTTTCTCCAGATCTTCATCCAGATGAGCATTTGTGGGATGTGCTGGAAATACATGTCCAATCCATGGAGGCACCACCGTGAAACTTACAGGACTTAAATGATCTGCTGCTGTCTGATACCACAGGACACCTCTGGAGGTCTGTGGAGCCCATGTGTAGAAGCATCAGAGCTGTTTTGGCTGCACAAGGAAACCTACACGACAAATGGTAGATGGTAAATGGTCTGCACTTAAATAGGGCTTTTCTTTACAGTGTTTTCTTGTTCACACACACTTTCATACACCAATGGCGCCAGAGCTGAGCAAGGAGCTGCTGCCATTGGGAGCAACTTCTAGTTCAGTCAAGACAGGCAGTTTTAAGACTGTAGCTCATCAGTTTACACCCAATATGGCCTTTAAACTCTAATTAAAGATGTTTACTCTACAAACCAGGACAAAATGGTCTCTCCTGTTTGGTACCTTTTGATATATGTTCTGGCACCGGCCTCAGCAGCCCTACAGGACCCCGGCATGTGAAGCCTCGAAGTGTTGAGGGCGGGACACAAGACAGCTGGGAATGAAAGTGCTGCCCTTGATGTGTTGAGGAGTGGAGCGCCGGGTGCAGACAAACCAACTGTCAAGACTCACAAGGTCGCAGTGAGCCGCGAAGTGTGAAGCTGTTAATGTCAGAAGGGCTCGTGCGCTTCTTGAGGAGGTCTTCAGGTGGTCCGGCCAATAAACACATGATTTAAGGATCTGGTCTGGTAATGTGACAGTAATTACCAGCGCTGACCCCGTTGACGTTAATGATGTGTCCACGGGGGCGGGTGATAAGTGTTCTGTGGCAGCTAAACGTATTTATTCACAGTATGGATGCTGAAACCTTTGAAACAGGCAGCTGTCACGGCCCGATGGTTTATTATAGATGGAGGAGGGTCAGCCGAGGTCCACCGGGAGACAAAGGAGATCTACGAGGAGTAATCCAAGTCAGAAATTCACAGGTTTATCTTTGTCTTCCAGGACAATAGAAGACAGACAATGCTAGACACCCAGATAGGCTTTCTGTAGCAGTGACGTGGCTTCTTCAGTTTAACAGAGTTTAGACTTTTACATATTATTATTATTATTATTATTATTATTATTATTATTATTATTATAAATATGCTTTTTCCTGAGCAGCAAATAAGAACATATCCACATTCACACTTCCCACAATAAAATATGTTTAATGGTAATAAACATATTTAGTTCATTATAATAAAAACAACACCCAGGTTTCATGTGTCGGCTAAAATATTTCAATATTTTCACAGTTTGCTGGCTTTTCCGTCACTTGAAGAGCAGAACTAAAATAGATGCTGATTTAGGAGCTGCTAATGAGCTTCAGGTTGGATAGCCAATGGATACATTACAGTTACACTGGTCCACACCTTTATCTCCAAATACAGATGTTCCTTTTTTGATCCTTTGTGTTGCTGCTCCGTCCTTATAGGGCGGCTGTAGCTCTGCCTCCTGGATGTATAAAAAGAGGAGTTCAGAAAGAGGAGTGAGGACAGGAACAGAGCATCTGCAGGTAAGCACATCTTTGTTTAAGTTTTAAGAGCCATTTAAAGCCTTGTTTCAGTTTAAGTTTAACCACCACATGTACTGAAAACGCTGCTACTTCTGCTTTTCTAGAAACCCAACAGACCAAATCTATCTAGGAGGAGAGGAACAAGGGACAGGTGAGGGTTTAAGTGAACAAACTGGACTGAGAACAATTAGGTTCTTGTGTTCTTTGTGATAGTTTGTAGGTAATTTGAATCACTGTCCTTTCACTTCATAATATTCTCCTACTTACTCATCCTATGATTTAACTAAACTACTAACTAATTCCTGATTCCTGTATTTCTTTTCAAATGATCGTATAACGCATTCAAGTGCTAATTCAGCGACTGTGAAACCTAAATGTTTTCTGATCACATCCTTGGTTCACAGCTTTCAAGATGTCCAGTGACTCCATCATGGCGGAGTTTGGGCCTGCGGCTCCCTTCCTGAGGAAGTCAGAGAAGGAGCGCTTAGAAGCCCAGACCCGAGTCTTCGACATGAAAAAGAACTGTTTTGTGCCTGATCCTGAGGTGGAGTACGTTAAGGCCCTCATTACCAGCAGAGATGGCGACAAAGTCACCGTTGAGACTGAGCTTGGAAAGGTAGGATGTTTACATTGACTAACAGGTGGTTGTGATGATTAACTAACACGCTGGCTGCCAGACATTTAAATTGAAATGTGGTAAATGGTTTCAGACTGCCACCCATAAGGAGGCAGACATCCACCCTCAGAACCCGCCAAAGTTTGACAAAATCGAGGACATGGCGATGTTCACCTTCCTCCACGAACCTGCTGTGCTGTTTAACCTCAAAGAGCGTTACGCAGCGTGGATGATCTACGTGAGTCATGGACACAAATCCACACATCTCTGCACAGCATCAAACCTTTGGTCCAATCAAACAGTTATGTTTTTTTGTCCACAGACCTACTCAGGGCTGTTCTGTGTGACTGTCAACCCCTACAAGTGGCTGCCAGTGTACGATCAGTCAGTGGTCAACGCCTACAGAGGGAAGAAGAGGAGCGAAGCTCCTCCTCACATCTACTCCATCTCTGACAACGCCTACCAGTACATGCTGTCTGGTATGTTCATGTTTGGTGTCACATCTTCAACACCATCCAAAGATAGAAAACTGTCCTAACATTGTTTTGAATCTTGCAGACAGAGAAAACCAGTCCATCCTCATCACGTAAGTCACTCCTCACACGTTATATTTCTGTTATGAAGAACATGTGTGTGCTGCTAAGTGCTCACTAAACATGACAGTTCTTTTGATTCCCAGCGGAGAATCTGGTGCAGGAAAGACTGTGAACACCAAGAGAGTCATCCAGTACTTTGCCAGCATCGCAGCTGTTGCTGGCAAGAAGGATGCCAGTCAGGAGAAGAAGGTCGGTATCATTTATGATAACACAAACTTGGTAAATGTAGTTTTAGGGACAAAATTTGACATTTGTGACATCCACAGGGCACCCTGGAGGATCAAATCATCCAGGCCAATCCTGCTCTGGAGGCTTTTGGAAATGCCAAGACCATCAGAAACGACAACTCCTCCAGATTTGTGAGTTGCCTCATTAGTCTCTTTATTAAAGATCAGATTTGCCCAATACAGCTTCTTTTACATTTTCTCATCACTTCTGATGCTTCAAATCTCAGTTTCTAAAACATTAACAGTGAGTTCAGAAAAAATGCGAGAACTTTGGTTGTACTTAAACAAAATCATGTATTTCATCTTTAAGTATCTGTTTTAAGGATTTACTTTTACTGCATCTTACAGGGTAAATTCATCCGAATCCACTTTGGAGTCAGTGGAAAGTTGGCTTCTGCTGACATTGAGACATGTGAGTAACATGAGCAGGATCATGGCCAACTCATCACAAATCAAACCAAATTACTGAACTTTTAAAAGAACAGAAACACCTTCCCAAAGTCCACATGGTGCTGTTTCAATTTTCTAACAAGACACTTCACCAATAGATGACATGCAGCAGATATTTTATAGTTTAATGGACAAACATTATTTTGTCCTGTCCCAGTTTAGTGAGATCTCCTGCAGATGTCAACAGAGCGTCATACAAATGCTGTTGTATTTCTACAGATCTGTTGGAGAAGTCCCGTGTCACCTATCAGCTCAAGGCTGAGAGAGACTACCACATCTTCTACCAGATTCTGTCTCAACAGAAACCAGAACTGCTGGGTGAGTATTCAGTGAATCACAGGACAGCATTGTGTCTCAAGACATCTGACATGCACATAGGCTGGAACGTTTCCTTTCATTGACAGAAATGCTGTTGATCACCAACAACCCCTATGACTACTGCTACATCTCCCAAGGAGAAACAACCGTCGCCTCCATCAATGATTCAGAAGAACTGATGGCGACTGATGTGAGTGAGACCAGGACAAACTGTCGTACACACTGTGGGTTCATATGAATTTCTCTCCTATTAGGTTGACTTTTGATCCCTCAGGACAAAGATCAGATCAACAATCATAATAGAACAAAGGTGCCGGTGTATTGTCTGGGCCACACCCTGATAATACAACTCACTGCTGTTATATAATCACATTCCATGAGTGAGATAAGAAAAAAAACAATTGAAAGGCCCTCAGTGAGTTAAAACTTCCAACACAGGAGCTACAGCCAGTAAAAATACACATTATGAGCAACTTTATCTAAAATACTCAATAAATAGGAGCATTAAAGAAAACAATACAGTTTCACAACTAACTCAGATGCATTCATATTGTTTTAGGAAGCTTTTGATGTCCTGGGCTTCACCCAGGAGGAGAAGAACGGCATTTACAAGCTGACAGGTGCCATCATGCATTATGGAAACATGAAGTTCAAGCAGAAGCAGAGGGAAGAACAGGCAGAGCCAGACGGCACAGAGGGTAAAGGCTCAACAGTAAAACACTAAAACGATGCTTATTAGTGTTGTTTAATAAGAATAACTACCACTAATTGAAGTCAACTCAGGTAGTAAATGCTTCTGCTCCACATCATCCTCAGACACTGACAAAGTGGCTTATCTCATGGGCCTGAACTCTGCTGACCTCATCAAGGGACTGTGTCACCCAAGAGTCAAAGTAGGCAATGAGTGGGTTACCAAAGGTCAAAGTGTGCAGCAGGTGAGTTGTAAATCACACACTGCAACGCATTCTGCTCATTAATCAGAATAAAGTAAATATGAATGCTGATGTGGTTTATTGTTGTCCGTTCTTAGGTGTACTACTCCATTGGTGCTCTGGCCAAGTCAGTGTATGAGAAAATGTTCCTGTGGATGGTGGTGAGAATCAACCAATCCCTGGACACCAAGCAGCCTCGTCAGTACTTCATTGGTGTGCTGGACATTGCTGGCTTTGAGATCTTTGATGTGAGTTTTCAAGGTTTTGTGACGTCTGACGTATTCATGAAGGTACAGAATCTGTATTTGAAGGCTGACTCGTTTTTTTTTTACTATGATTTCTAGTTCAACACCTTTGAGCAGCTGTGCATCAACTACACGAATGAGAAGCTGCAGCAGTTCTTCAACCACCACATGTTTGTGTTGGAGCAAGAAGAGTACAAGAAAGAGGGCATCGTGTGGGAGTTCATTGACTTTGGCATGGACTTGGCAGCCTGCATTGAACTCATTGAAAAGGTGGGTGTTTACAAATCATACTGCTGAGGCAGTGTTGGTGTATTGGAGACTGACCTGCCATCTGTCTGCCCCTCCAGCCCATGGGCATCATGTCCATCCTTGAAGAGGAGTGCATGTTCCCCAAAGCCAGCGACGCAACCTTTAAAGCCAAACTGTACGACAATCATCTGGGTAAAAGTCCCAACTTCCAGAAGCCCAGGGTTGTTAAGGGGAAGCCAGAGGCCCATTTCTCCCTCGTTCACTACGCTGGTACTGTTGATTACAACATCACGAACTGGCTGGAGAAAAACAAGGACCCACTGAATGAGACGGTGGTTGGACTCTATCAGAAGTCCACTCTGAAGCTACTCTCTTTGTTGTTTATGGGTTATGCTGGTGCAGAGGCAGGTGAGGGCTCTTTGACTCTGCTGATTATTTTCACCCTTAAGTTAATAAAATCACAATAACACTTACATGTCTACAACTTACATACAGCCCAGGATTCAGGAGGCAAAGGAGGAAAGGGAGGAAAGAAGAAGGGTTCTTCCTTCCAGACTGTGTCTGCTCTGCACAGGGTAAAATATGAGATTTGTATGTCTGTGTCCTTGGTTGGGCAGTACGAACATGTTGTTTACGTATTATGAACATTTACAGGAGAATCTGAATAAACTGATGACCAACCTCAGGTCAACTCATCCTCACTTTGTACGCTGCATCATCCCCAATGAGACGAAGACTCCCGGGGCGATGGAGAATCCTCTGGTCATGCACCAGCTGCGCTGTAACGGCGTGCTGGAGGGCATCAGGATCTGCAGGAAGGGATTCCCCAACAGGGTCCAATACGGAGACTTTAAACAAAGGCAAGACAAGCAGTGACTACTGACTGTTCCTTCACACATCTTGTGAACACTTGAACACATCATCAGCAGGGGTCTTTGGGTACCTTTGGTCTTTAAACAATAGACAACGTTGCCTTGGTGACCCAGGGTTGATGAGTTGCCCCTGTTCAAACACAGTCATCTGCTTCTTCTGTGGCAGCAGTGATGTTTCTGATGGCATTCTTCCTGTGCAGATGTGTCCCAGTTAAGGTTGGCTGTAGAGGTTTCAGTAGATGGTAACTATGCAGGTTCTTCAAGCTTGATGGCCAAACCAGTGTAAAAATCCTTGATGAACACATAATGGTTTCAGATTATAAGCTCTAAGGTGTTCTGTCTTCCATTACATGTGTTTCCAACCTTTTAATGCTATTATGGTTGTATTGTCTCAGATATCGCATCCTGAACCCTAATGCTATTCCTGAGGGACAGTTCATCGACAACAAAAAAGCTGCAGAGAAACTTCTGGGCTCGTTGGATATCGATCATGAGCAGTACAAGCTGGGACACACAAAGGTTGGTTCTGCTGCTACATCAACCAAAAGATCAGGGCTGAAAAAAAAAATATAAAAACTTCTCTGCCACTATCAGGTGTTCTTCAAAGCTGGTCTGCTGGGCGTTCTGGAGGAGATGAGAGACGATCGCCTCGCGCTCATCATTACTGGAATCCAAGCAAGATCCAGAGGGCTACTCGCCAGGATCGAGTTCCAGAAAATTGTCGAGCGCAGGTTGGTCCTTTATTCCTCATAAGTATCACAGAAGACCACGCTCAAAAATGAGCTCAAACTCTCTGATGTCGTCCACAGAGATGCCTTACTGGTGATCCAGTGGAATGTGCGTGCCTTCATGGGTGTCAAGAACTGGCCCTGGATGAAGATGTTCTTTAAGATCAAACCTCTGCTGAAGTCAGCTGAGACTGAGAAGGAGATGGCAAACATGAAAGAGGAGTTCACCAAGCTCAAAGAGGCTTTTTCAAAATCTGAAGCCCGCAAGAAAGAGCTGGAGGAAAAAATGGTCACGCTTCTCCAAGAGAAGAATGACCTGCAGCTCCAAGTCCAATCCGTAAGATCAGCCGGACGGCTTTCCTAATAAAATACACACACCAATGTAGTGATTTACAATATCGGTTTAATTTCCTGTCTGTAGGAGCAAGACAATCTTTCAGATGCTGAGGAGCGCTGTGAGGGTCTGATCAAGAGCAAGATCCAGCTCGAGGCCAAAACCAAAGAGCTGACAGAGAGGCTGGAGGATGAAGAGGAGATGAACGCAGAGCTGACTGCCAAGAAGAGGAAGCTGGAGGACGAGTGTTCAGAGCTCAAGAAGGACATCGATGACCTGGAGCTGACTCTGGCTAAAGTGGAAAAGGAAAAGCATGCCACAGAGAACAAGGTATGAAAGAGATATAATCATTTTTGTATTAACAGCTGCCCAAATGACAAATGATGAGGAGTTTTATTTACACACCAGACTGAACACTGCCTCTGTGATCCGTTTTTTAAGGTGAAAAACCTGACGGAGGAGATGGCAGCTTTAGATGAAATCATCTCTAAGCTGACCAAAGAGAAGAAAGCTCTCCAGGAGGCTCATCAGCAAACACTGGATGACCTGCAGAGTGAGGAAGACAAAGTCAACACTCTGACCAAGGCCAAAGTCAAGCTGGAGCAGCAAGTGGACGATGTCAGTACTTCAAGCCTAAATTGTGATTAAATCTCAAGGTGTTGTGAGAAGCTTGTGTAATAAATGTTGGGATTGTTTCCTCTTTTAGCTTGAAGGGTCATTGGAGCAAGAGAAGAAAGTGAGAATGGATCTGGAAAGAGCCAAGAGAAAACTGGAAGGAGACTTGAAGCTCACGCAAGAAAATGTGATGGATCTGGAAAACGATAAGCAGCAGATGGAGGAAAAGCTCAAAAAGTAAATCAGATCTCTAAAAATCGAAAAATGACACATGGTACGAAACCAAAACAGATTACTAAGGTGCCACATTTTGTCTCTAAATGTAGGAAAGATTTTGAAATCAGCCAGCACCTCGGTAAAATAGAGGATGAACAGGCCATGAGTGCTCAGCTCCAGAAAAAACTGAAGGAGTTACAGGTAGGTGTTTAAAATCAGGGTTGTTCTTCTTTTGTTATGATTATTCCTACTTGAAATGTAAAACGACTTGGTGAATTTCATCAAGGCTCGTATTGAAGAGCTGGAGGAAGAGCTGGAGGCAGAGCGAGCTGCCCGAGCCAAGGTGGAGAAGCAGAGAGCCGACTTGGCCCGAGAGCTGGAGGAGATCAGCGAGAGGCTGGAGGAGGCCGGAGGAGCCACCGCTGCCCAGATCGAGATGAACAAGAAGAGGGAGGCAGAGTTCCAGAAGATGCGCAGAGACCTGGAAGAGGCCACGCTGCAGCACGAAGCCACCGCTGCTACGCTGAGGAAGAAGAACGCAGACAGCGTGGCTGACCTGGGAGAGCAGATCGACAACCTGCAGAGAGTCAAACAGAAGCTGGAGAAGGAGAAGAGTGAGCTGAGGCTGGAGCTGGACGACGTGGTCTCCAACATGGAGCAGATCGTCAAAGTCAAAGTAAGATGTCCAAACCAAACAAATCTTTGTTTGAAACACCGCAATATAATAGTTTGACATTCTTGGAAATATATTAATGAGATCAAAAGATGGATGTCCTTATTACTTATTAATAATAACTGTACAGCTGGACATAGAAACCTCAGTGTCACTGTAACAAGTCTGATGTTCAGCAAGAAATAATTACAGAACATAACGCCTCACACACCAGAACTTTAAAAAAAAACAACTTTTCTTTATATATACATCTAAAGAAAAGAGATATAACCAGGAAACTTATGTAAATAAAAGCTGCATTTAGCCTTTAAACTTGAAGTCAAAAGGGATCCCCAAGTGCCTCTGCATTCCTGCTAATGGCCAGCAGGAGGCGACTCTTCTGGTTACAAAAACAAGTCCAATAGTTTTCATTTGATTTAGGACCTCGGCTGACATTTTCCGAATGAGTTTAAGGTCTCAGTCACTCGTGTCAAGTCTCCTTCAACATGGTTTGATGTAAACTATGGTACCAATTAGAGAACAGTAGGCAGTTCCGCCCATCCAGTTTCAAAAGACCAAGATGGTGACACTGAAATGCAAAACTCAAGCCTTCAGAACCGTAATGGACAAATCAGTGGTTGGCCTCATGGTGGCTGCGTCCATCTTTTATAAACAGACTCTGGGTGGAAATGAGTGAAATAAAACCTCCTGTGATAAGATCAAACTTTTAATGTGTTTAGTACTTTGGTTTTTACTTTCAAATCCCATCAACCTCAGCTGTATTTAGTGTAAATTATCAAACGTTAGCATGCTGTCATGCTAACCTGAGATAATGAAGATTTATTTGTCTGCTATGGAGTACTTTGGGTCAATGTCTGCTTAACATGTTAGCATGCTGGCATTAGCCTTCAGCTCAAAGTGTCACTGTCGCTAGTTACTGTGTTTACCTGCTTACAGTTTTTATGCTAAGCTAGGCTAACTGTTTCTTGGCTCTAACTACAAATGCGAGAGAAATTTAGTTTTCTCATTTAAATATTGGTTACAAAGTAAAAATGGATTTCCCAAAGTAATTGAGGATGATTTGCAGACGTCAACAACGCCATTCATCTCTAGGAAATTCTAAGTTTAACCGTTTTGCTGAAACAGGACTCAGGACTGGAGAGGTGCAGAATATACATACATGTTTTATTAAACCTCTTTTAAAAATGACGGGTTTGGACAGACACAGCATTAGTCCTCAGCAGACGAGCTGCCTGTCAGGTGTTGCCCTGTAGGTCCAGTCCTCTAATGAGGAAACAAGGACCTAAATGTCGTCAGTCCTCTGCTGCTGTGTCCCTTCACAGATCCTTACTGTGGAGCGTTCAGGGTGTCATTTGCATGGTGTGGGCTGTTCATGTGTGGTGTACAGCATCATGATCCCTTTCCCCCTCACTTTGGTCCCTGCTGCCAGACTGAGCCCCAGCGCTGCTCATGGTTTCCGCCGCCTCATTAGAAGGCCGCTGGGCCTCAAGAGTATTGTGCAAAAACTGACAAGCAGCTCATTTGCTGTGACAAGTGGGCTGCCTAGTTTTTAAACATTCGGTGTCTGTCAAATATTGTGATTTTCAAAAGGACGAATTTATTATAAAAAATGATCTCTGTTCTGTGTGGAATCACGTCTCCTGTCGAGTTTTGTCGAACCCGTGTGACCTTTTTCAGTCCCAGCATGGTTAAACATACGATGTTCTTGGCTCCTGTCACACAGAAATAATGTTTAAGTCAGATGGATTCTAGGACTTACATCATCCTCTCATTCAGGCCAACCTGGAGAAAATGTGCCGCACTCTGGAGGATCAGATGAGCGAATACAAGACGAAATCAGAGGAGTCCCAGCGTAGCATCAATGACTTCACCATGCAAAAGGCAAAGCTCCAAACGGAAAATGGTAACAAATCTAAAATACACTTCTTTAACCGTTAAAGATACACACCAGTAGATTAGTAGTTGAGCTGTTAGAGAACGTAGGATAGAACATTTGCAAACTAAACCTTTATTGTCCAGGCGAGCTGAGCAGGCAGCTGGAGGAGAAAGACTCGTTGGTCTCCCAGCTGACCAGAGGCAAGCTGTCATACACTCAGCAGGTTGAGGACCTGAAGAGGCAGCTGGAGGAGGAAGTCAAGGTACTTCTTCAAGACCTACTGATTTTTAAAATGCAGAGCCCAGTTGTCTGACAGCAAAGCGGCTTGACTTCATGTTCCTTTATTAAAGGCCAAGAATGCACTCGCCCATGCGGTGCAGTCTTCTCGCCACGACTGTGATCTGCTGAGGGAGCAGTTTGAGGAGGAGCAGGAGGCCAAAGCTGAGCTCCAGCGCAGCATGTCCAAGGCCAACTCTGAAGTGGCTCAGTGGAGAACCAAGTACGAAACTGATGCCATCCAGAGAACAGAGGAGCTGGAAGAAGCAAAGTAAGAACTGGACTTTTCTCTGAATCACCACTAAAAGAACCATCTTCAGACAGTTCCTACATTCTCCCCGGACATGGTGATGGTAACCCAATCTTATCTTACACTATACTGTTTCTATTAGGAAAAAGCTTGCTCAGCGTTTGCAGGATGCTGAGGAAGCTGTTGAGGCTGCAAATGCCAAATGCTCCTCCCTGGAGAAAACCAAACACCGGCTTCAGGGGGAGATTGAGGATCTCATGGTGGACGTGGAGAGATCTAACGCTGCTGCTGCAGCTCTGGACAAGAAACAAAGAAACTTTGATAAGGTGATATGACAGGAAGAAAAACAGTTTACCTACAAAAACAAGTAAATGTATGAAATGACTTTGACCTGTCTGATATGTGATCAGGTCCTTTCTGAGTGGAAGCAGAAGTACGAGGAGTCTCAGACTGAGCTGGAAGGAGCCCAGAAAGACGCTCGTTCTCTCAGCACTGAACTCTTCAAACTGAAGAACTCCTACGAAGAGTCTTTAGATCATCTGGAGACCATGAAACGAGAAAACAAGAATCTCCAAGGTAGGGAGATATCATTTGAACATGATCTGTCTTTTAAGGTACACTGACTACAGTTAATGGTAAAATGAATGAATGTGCACACAACAGAGGAGATTTCTGACCTGACTGAGCAACTTGGTGAGGGAGGAAAGAGCATCCACGAGCTGGAGAAGATCCGTAAGCAGCTGGAGCAGGAGAAGGCTGAGATACAAACCGCTCTGGAGGAAGCTGAGGTTAATATTTCTTCATCTACAGGCACCATTGTGCTCCCATTATGTGTCTTTTGTCTTCTGCTACGAGAGAACAACAGTGATTTTCTGTCCACAGGGTTCCCTCGAGCATGAAGAGGGTAAGATCCTTCGTGCTCAGCTGGAGTACAACCAGGTGAAGGCCGACATCGAGCGCAAGCTGGCGGAGAAGGACGAGGAGATGGAGCAGGCCAAGCGTAACCACCAGAGAGTGGTGGACACTCTGCAGAGCTCCCTGGAGGCCGAGACTCGAAGCAGAAATGAAGCTCTGAGACTGAAGAAGAAGATGGAGGGAGATCTCAATGAGATGGAGATCCAGCTGAGCCAGGCCAACAGGCAGGCATCAGAGGCCCAGAAGCAGCTCAAAGGAGTCCACACCCACCTGAAGGTCAACCTGAACACTTCAAAACCTACGACAGAGCAGACTGTTTTCACTTTCTTTCACTAATTCCTGGAAATGCAATATTTTTTACATTCTATTTGACAGGACTCACAGCTGCAGCTGGACGACGCTCTCCGTGCCAATGAAGATCTGAAGGAGAACATTGCCATGGTGGAGAGACGTAACAACCTGCTGCAGGCCGAGCTCGATGAGATTAGGTCTGTGGTGGAGCAGACTGAGAGAGGTCGCAAGCTGGCTGAGCAGGAGCTGCTGGACGTCAGCGAGAGAGTTCAGCTGCTGCACTCACAGGTATGTCACCGGGCCACAGCTTCTGCTCCACTTAGTTTTTAATAATTGCACACTTAAGTTCCCTAATCTCCTGAGCAGAACACCAGCCTGCTGAACCAGAAGAAGAAGCTGGAGGGTGACACCTCTCAGCTCCAGAATGAGGTGGAGGAGGCTGTGCAGGAGTGCAGGAATGCTGAAGAGAAGGCCAAGAAGGCCATTACCGATGCAGCCATGATGGCAGAGGAGCTGAAGAAGGAGCAGGACACCAGCGCCCACCTGGAGCGGATGAAGAAGAACATGGAGCAAACCATCAAAGACCTGCAGCACCGCCTGGATGAAGCCGAGCAGATCGCCATGAAGGGTGGCAAGAAGCAGATCCAGAAGCTGGAGGCCAGGGTAAACATTTCCAACCTCCACAGTGCTGCCTTACGGTACCGGTGTACACTATGCTCTTACCAAAGTGGTGTCTTTAACTTTCTCTTAAGGTGAGAGAGCTGGAGAACGAGGTGGACATGGAGCAAAGGAAAAGCAGCGACTCAGTGAAAGGTGTTCGCAAGTACGAGAGACGCATCAAAGAGCTGAGCTACCAGGTACAGACTCAGCTCCTCTGTGATAAACATCCACCAAAACGATACCAAACTATGCTTTAACCATCAATGTGCTGATCCAGACAGAGGAGGACAAAAAGAACATGAGCCGTCTGCAGGACCTGGTGGACAAACTGCAGCTGAAGGTTAAATCCTACAAGAGGAGCGCGGAAGAGGCTGTAAGTAAAACCACCACAGCTGTCGTCTTTATGATAGAGAACTTCATCAATTCACCAACCTCTAATTTGGATTTTCAGGAGGAACAGGCCAATGTCAATCTCGGCAAGTTGCGCAAGTTACAGCACGAGCTGGAGGAAGCAGAGGAGAGGGCCGACATCGCCGAGTCGCAGGTCAACAAGCTGAGAGCGAAGAGCCGCGACTCCGGAGCTAAGGTCGGTCATCGGGCAAAGCGGTGCGATGTTGATGGCACGGTAACGCTAAGTGCTAACTGATGTTTTCTCTTTGTACAGAAAGCTCACGATGAGGAGTGAAGCCTTCCACCGAGGCCTCATGAACACACAGCAGTTAGACGGTAGTGTCGTAGCTTTCCTTTGTTCTCCATGCAACATGAGCGGAATAAAGAATAAATGAGTTCTGAATGCATCCCCGTTCTCTGTTGTGAGTTAATATCATGCAGAACGTCCCGACAACAGAAACCAAACAGGAACACTGAGTTGTTCTTGCACAAACCTTTGCACGTTGTTTCTAGAGGACGATCCTCGGCCGGCGCTGCTGGGTCGGTTGTTTGAGCAGCTGACTGCACCGCTGAGAACGAGCTCCAACAAGGCTGAGAACAGCTGCAGGTGGCTGAAATGTACTAAACGTCCTGATTAGTGCAGAGAAAAGTTAAATATGACAGCATTCTCAACACGAGTTCAACAGCTGACTCAGAACAGCAAAGACAACACAGTGAATCAAACTTAACCACCAATGGATCTTATAAAGCTTCTGCCTTCCTTTTACATAGCTGTGTTATCGATTGCTGGTAAAAAAATATTCTCAAAAATAAGTTTTGGCATTTGTTCCTTCTCTTGCATCTCTGTGCAAAATGACAGAAAGCTGTTTCCAAATTCAACAGCGGAAAATGGAAAGTTAATCTGCGGTCACCTCAAATCTGACAAAAAATCCACTGTTTTCCAAAATACAGCACAAAGAGCGTCTTGTGTATGACTTCATGCTTCTTCCTCCTTGCTGTAATCCATGAATCCATCAGAGGGCAGTGCAGTCAAACGTCTTTAAAAGCAGGTGATGGCATGAGATGCACCATGTCAGCAGTGGATGGTGAACAAACAGAGATGGAAAGGAGGAAGTAAAACATGGCTATGGCTGTTTTTTTTTCCCACGCTAAATATTTGTGGTAGTGCAGAAGACTAACATGTGGTGAAACGATAATTACTTTATAAACCGGCTTCCTGATGTGGACACAGTGGAATGAGGCCAGGGTGAAGTTAACTGGAGCATTCAGAATCCCAGTATTCAGTTCACTTATAAGCTAATATCATAAGAATATACATGATGATATCAGTCAGTGTTCAGTTCTTTGTTTTTGGTAACTCCACTTTGAACAGCTGCACCAAGCTCTGCACAGCCTCAGCATTAAACAATGGCCTCCCTCGGCTGGTTGATGCCACCATGAGCCCACTAGGAGAAGAAAAAAGTTTGTTTGGTGAAACCTGATCCTGCAGAGCCTGCAGCGTGACAGCTCTCTGGAATAAAATGCTTAAATTAATTCAATTTCCTAACGTGAGGTGTAGATGTATTTTGCTATTTTGTAAAACACACACTGTGGCGTGTAAGCCTGTATGAGCGTTTGAGTGTTTGCGGTGCAGCTTTAACTATCTGTGCTGAACAAAACCCAGCACATGTTGCCTTTTCACACATTCACTGTACCAGTGTACTTACCAGCCTACACACCCGAGACAACAAACAGTCTACTGCACGGCTTCAACAGTGCTACTTTTCATCTTTATCATTGTACAGCATGCAGGATAAGTTCCACTCAAGCTTCCCGTCTGTCTTTATCAGCCAGCCCTTGGTGCGGCTTTGTTACCGTGATCAAGTGTTTTCTCTGCAAACAGAGGGCTCTGGACGAGCAGCGCTGCACTTTCCCGTGTATGACATAAGATGGAAAAGCAGATTCAAAGTCCGAGCTCTGAAGGCCGTGACACACGAAGTTATGCGGCCGTGCCCTTCCCGTATGATGTCACGGCTAATAATACAAAGCAGATTGTTGTGACTCAGTGTGAAAGTCTCTCCGGGATAAATTCTGCATACGCATTAGAGAAAGTCAAGGAGACAAAGCCCACTGCCAGTAAACATTAAGTAATGACTTTAACTTCAGCCTAATGGACGTTTTATCTAACCATTGCCGCGACAGCTCATGCGTTGTCATAGCTAATAACAAAAGGGAACACCCTGCTGAATAATGGGCGACAGTTGAGCCGCCCCACCTACAGCAGACACTATTTAAAGTTAACAGCATCGAGCAGAGCGTCGTAATTCATGTGGTCAGTGAGAATCACCGCAGACTGGAATGTGGCCTCGGGCACCAGATCTTTTGTTGTGTTCTACATAATCCACATACCTTTTCTGGCATGTAAATATTGTGATGGGAAACTAACATGAAACAAAGAGAAATAATGCTGGTTAACACTGGACCATTTCACCTAAAGCAGCAGCAGCAAGAGTGGAAGCAACTCGTTATAACAGAAATCCCCCAAACAGAAGCTTTTGTTGGAAATATTACATTTATTTATAAAATAGATATATTAAGACTTTAGATTGTGACTGTACAAATAACAGCAGGCACTGTATAGAGCACTTTATAATGTTTGTTAATCAGAACAAGATTAGATTTCATCCCAAAGTACAAAAAACAAAAACGTTTTAAAGCAACACTTGTTTAAAAAAAAAGAAAAACAAGAAAGAAAAAGTTACTAAGAAAATAAGTCGTTTCTGCTTTATGATGACAACATTTACCGAAATTCGTTTCAATCTTCAAACACAGATGATGAAATATCCAACGATAGCGTGTTTATCCACATTACCTCAGCACTTACTGTTATCTAGCAGGATGAAATGCAAACCTAAAGATAAGACGTAGAGAGCCTAACCTCACACAGCAGTTGGTTCTTTAAAACAACCACACAGATATTCATACCTCACTAATGCCATGCAACTGACCAAACTATTTGTTATCCATACATTGCAGATCTGCAGTCATAGACAATAAACTGTACATACTTAAGAAGTATTTAAACCTATGCTGATAATATCATGCTCGCCCATACGTCTTTTTTTTTTCACCATAACCACAACTACAACTTTCGAAAAGTAAATCATGCAAGCAGCCCACTGTTCTAACTGACCTCACGTCTCCTTGGTGACAATAAGAGAGTTAACAAAAAACAAGCAGATGTTATCATACATAAAAGATTACAGCCCGTCCTTCTCCTCATGGACGTTTTGTTCTCATGTCCTGGAAAGCAGAAATTTGAAAGCAACTGTTGTTCTGTTTTCACAGTTCTGTTTCCTTTTCTCTTTCCTCATCTGATTCTAAGTAATATTCATCATCTGTCGTCGTGTCCGAGTTGCTGTCTGACGACTCCTCAAAGGTGCTAAGGCTCGAAACATAACCTCTGGAGGGCAGAAGCCCTCTGGAGGACTGGCTGTCTCCTTGCTGTAGTGCTTCTGATGAGCTTGGAAAGGTCGGAGAGGACAGGCTGGGAGGTTTGGACATGCGTCTGGACACTGGTGACATGGGAGGAGTTGGAGGAGGGGTCGGGGGACCCTCGGTATCCCATGTAAACTGACAAGTGTTCATGTTAGGGCTCCAAAGGTGAGCCGGCCTTGAGGCTGTGCTGGTTACAGGTTGAGACGGAGCGTCTCCTGAGCTCCAGTTTGCCAAGCACTTGGTCAGGGATCGAGGCAGAGATCTTGACCTCATTTTACCAGGATCACTGGGAAAATACGCCGCTCGACTGTCACTGGCAGGTTGGCAATCCAATTCTTTGTTCCAGTCAGGTGTGACAGACCACTGACTCAAGTCTCTGGCATTACTTCCACAAGACAAGGCAGACTGAGAGAGGTCCCCCATACTCATGAATCTGGATCCAGTGGAAATACGTCCAGGCCCTGAAGGTCGACTGGACAGAACTGAACTCACAGAAAAGCACCTGGAAGGCTCAATGCCGTACTTTAAGTCTGCATACGAGGATGCCAACTGTTCCTTGTCAGGTACTGGGCCTACACTTGGAGGACCTGTCGACACTCGGCTTCTTCTTGAACCTCCTAAGCTGATTCCTTCTCCTGGCTCACAAGGAGACGGAGTTTCTCTGCGACGGTGCAGCTTTGGGCTGTAGAAGACACTGTCATCTGTCACTTCGGGTGAGGAAAATGGGGAGAGAGGGGAAAGAGAGGCGAAGGGGGAGAAGGGGCTTCTGGGGCTCGGTGTGGACTTCCTGAACTGAGATGGATATGCAGCAGAGGAATTAGGGCTCCTACAAGGACTGAGATCTCTACAAGACAGGAACTGGTTTGATGCTGTATAATCTGTCCCGCTGTCTTTGTAAAAGTCCAACTGGTGCGTCGCTGGGTGGTCGACTGTCAGGTGAACTTGGGCTTTGTTTTCAAATGTGTGTTCTGCACAAGTGTTTTTCTCTTCTTGGTTAGTGTCTAGAGTTGATTTTTCTGACCAAATGGAGAAGTGATCTCCTGTTACTGTGCTTCCAACAGCTGAAGATGGCATGATGGTGTATCTGTTTTGTGTCCATCTATCTGCATCGTCTGTTTCCTTTTTGCTGTCATTCAGCACCATCTCTTTCTGCTGCATTCGCTCCTCCAGAGTTTTGGCACTCTCAAGACTGTTGTCACTGACATTACTGACATCACTTGAGCCACTAACAGAAGGAGTTTGGGAAGTTCGCTTCCATTTCCATGGAAACGATGAATCATCCTCAGACCGCCTAGGGCTGAATTTTTGTTTTATTTTATTCAGGACCTGGTCCATTTTGTTACTCTTGCTGGCCCTCTCTGAATCTGACCTTGACAAACTGGAGTTTGGTGTGCTGACACTTTTCTTCAGGGCAAATCGGCTTCTCTTTGGGCTTTGTTCATTATTAGCTTCCACTGAAAAAAATCTGCTTTTCCCCAGCACATTCTCCTTCATTCTTCTGCTGCTGCCTTCTTTATCCCGGGACTGACTCTCTGCTGAGCTGCTGCCACTGGAGCTCTGATCTGAATGACGATACGCTTCACCTGCTGCTCTCTGACTCTGCACTGTGTGTGACTGTTGGCTTAACTTGGTCTCCATAGAAACTGGTATGTTTGCGGTATCTTGCAAAGGTTTAGGTGTGGTGTCATTTGGGGCAGTAGCTGTATCTGCTTTGGTTTTAATGCCATAAACCAGTGTTTCAGTTACGTATGAGGATTTGTGTGCCTTATCACCCTGCAGAGACTGTAAGCTGACACGAACTCTGTTGTCGACAAGTAATATCTGGTTATTCTGACGGTCCTGGGCGTTATTTTTGCTGTGGTTATTGTTGACTTGATCAGTTTCTGAAACCACACTTTCTTGCACGGCAGGTTTTCTTTGGGAAGACAAGGGCATGGACTGGGATGGCCTGACAGGTGACAAAGGGGGTTTGGACGCAGTATTTAAGGGAAGCTGTGGGGTAAGATTAGACTGAGAAGGTTGAGAAAAAAGGCGTGCTCTGGGTGTTAAAGTTTTAGCTTCTCCATGTGCCTGTCTGTTAGACATGAGTGTGGAGTAAGGTGGGGAGCTATAGCGAAGCTTATAACCTGAAAAGTCAGGAGGGAGGGAGAGAGGAGCAGAGGAACAACATGGAACTGTGCCAGACTCCACTGATAATGTCCTTTCTTGCCTTGGTGTGGTTAAGTCTTGCTTTCCCTGGTCAAAGAGCATCGTGTCACCAGTTCTTTGCTTGTTTTTCTCTCTGGACGTCAAATCAGCAGAGTCAGAAGATAAAGATCGATACTTCCCTCCTTTGCCCACCTGTATGCTGGAGGTCTTGGGGGTAGGGGAGGGAAGAGGAGATGTGCTTGTTGTTGGACTGCTGGATCTTAGAAATGAAAATATGGATGGAGCATTTCGGGAGAACCTGGAGGGAGATAGAACGTTTGTTGGTGCTCGAGACGGCTCTTGCTTCTCCACTGTGGTGGGCTCTGAGACCTGGACATCCACTGAGTCCTCCCATGTTACCCGTCTTGCTTTCTTTCCCTCTGCACTGGAGCGTTTCTTTGGGTCTGTTTCTGGGCTGCTGGGAAATGTCTTCCCTCCCTTTGGACTGGAGGTTTCTAAGTAGTTTGGGCTGGAAATGACTGGGGTTGCAGGGGGAGTAAGGAGAGGGGAAATAGAGGTGGGAGAAGATGTCATAGCAGTAGTGACGGGAGGACTAAGAAAGGAAGGGCTGGTGGAAGCAGGGGATACAGGATGGCTGCCAGTGTTTGAGCAAGAGGTGGTGGATGCAGAGCTGTAGTTTGTTTTAGAGAAAGAACTGACTGAGGGAATCAGGCTGGATGAAGTTTTAGGTTGGAAAGGTTTGGGAGTGGAGGCATAGGTTCTTTCAAAGCCAAGAGGTGTGGTGTTGGATTTGTTGGTTAATTGTGGTGTTTGGGACAAAGACCCAGTGTATGATGAAGCATGAATACTTGTCTGAGAAGAGACTGAAGGGGAACTGAAGGGAAAACTATTTTTAGTGTTTGTGGCTGGGGGGAGGCCAGAGGTAGTTTGAGAGACGAGAGCTGGACTGCTGTAAGTGGTAGTGAAATCAAGAGAAAGAGATGGTTTGGTAAACTTCTGTGAGTCCATGTTGTGAAGAGGTAAGGGGGTGTTGTTGGTTTTGGCAGGACAAGGACTATTTTTGTATTTGCTGCTGCTCTCTGTGGGTGTATTTGAGCTCTTGGGATTTAGCAAAGTAGGTGGTAATTCAGTTACACTTGCTGTAAATGAACTGCTGCTTGCATCAGGCTTGCAGGGATCTTTAGGGTGACTCAGTGTGGTTTGTGCTGTAGCTCTACTAATTTTAGAACCACACAACGCATCAGGCATACTATAAGGCTTTTGTGGTTCTCTGTTGTTTAGGTTCGAGCCGTACTGCTGTTTGACAAACCTGTGTGGTTCGTGGTCAAGGGAATTCTCAGGGATTCTTTGTTTGAGATTGTGTGTTCCTCCCTGTGTCTTCAGGACAAAGTTCATGTTCCCTTTGCAAACCGACTCTGTTGTGCTACTGTTGTCTCGGTTACTGGACATATGACTACCCAATGTTTTGTTGTCAGTTAGAGTTGGAGAGGTCATGCCTCCATTATCGTTAAAGGGTGGAACAAAGGGTGTGTTTAGCCTGTCTTTGATGTTGCTTGTATCATTAAGGATGAGAGGAGCACTACTTTCGTGGCTAACTTGTTTCCACCAGGAAGTGGATTTCAGGCTGGTCCTTTTAGGAACAGAATGGGTTTTCAGTAGTGCAGAGTGGTCATATGGGGAATGTCTGGCTGTGGACACCATGTTCTCTGACAATAGGTTTGTACTTTCATTTGAATCCCTGCTGTTCTGGTGTCTCTCCAATAGTCCTGTACTTGGAAATGCCTGTTTGGAAGATGTAAGACTGGGCTGGATCCTGTTTATTGTCTGAGGGTGTTGGGTTGAAGCTGTGCCTCCAGCATCTCTGTTTATTGGTGAGGTTGAAAAGAAGACAGCGTCAGATATGTTCCTTTCTCTGATGCTGGAGGATGATGGTGACAGGACAGGTCCAGTTTCAGTTGGCCTATAAGAAATGGATGATGGAGAGAGGAGAGGCTTTGTCCTGTCTTGGTCATTATTATTGAGAAAGCTTTGAGAAAGGTGAGTTGAAAATAATTTTCCATTTCGATCACTTGAAGGACTGCTTGGAGACAAAGGGTTTACATCCGAGTAGGTGGAATCAGAAATCCCGCCATTGGAGTTAAATCTCCTTAAAGACAGAAGCAGACTGCTGGTTATTGGTTTTGAGCTTAAAGATGAGAGTCCTCCTTGATGTCTGCTTTGTGGATCCCTCCTTTGGTCATTAGGGTTGTGGAAGAGGGAAGACACAGATGATTTAGTGGTGGATAAAGGGCTTAAAGTACCTGCATCTATTTGCCTGTTGGTCATCCTTCCAGAGTTTACATCCAATGAGACAGTGTGAGTCATTTGCCTTTTAGTTTCATAGTCCAAGCCTGAAGGTTCACTTTTGGCCGACCAGCCCACTGTATTTCTCCTGGGACCCAGAAATGGGGCCCTCAGTTGGGCTTGTGATCCATCTGTCAACACCCTGTCCATACCATGCTGGTTCTGGGTGACCTGAAAACCATGCCCACGTTGTGCTGCAATATTGGTCACATCTTGTAAATTCCCCTGGGCATCTGAATTGCCCGTTCCATCAAGTCTTTTGTTCCGTCGTAGACGTCCACTCCAGTGTGGGGCAAGAACTGTTACCACGGTGGAAGACAACATGGCTGCAGGGGGGTCAGACAGTTCTCCAATATCAGTTTGGTTTTCGCGCTTTGTCCGGTCCTTTAGATCGCCCTCTAACTCAACTTCAGTGCAAGTTCTTGGTGGTGACAAACGCGGAGGTATGTGTGAACCATTGTGTTCATGTGGTCTAAAGTCACCATTTAAAAAAATGTCAGCTGAACTCAAGTCCCTGGTAATCTTCGGTTCATTGCAAACCGTAATGACCCCGTCTTCCTCCTTCGCTGGGAATGGAACTGTCTCTGATAATGAACAGACGCTGGTTGTCTCTACGGAGGTGTGTCGTGGCGTTCGTCCATTAACCTGTTAAGATAAAAATGATTTACTGCTGGTACCTATAGCTTGTGTCCTAGTTTACAGTTTGCTACACAACTTCAATCACCATTTTAAATAAACATAGTGCACACAAAACAACACAAATGCAAATTCTGTGTACGGTGAAGTAAAACACTGTCTGGCTTTTGCAGCAAAAACTAAGCAACAGCAAGCAGTAAAAGTGTATGCAGGCAGGAGCTTTTCTACGGCTCCTGTTCCCATGGTGTAGCTATTTAGGAGATCCAAGCCTTGCCAAACAGGTTACTTTAAAAGACATGAAAGATTTCCAAGGACTCGTACACAAAAGCACACACACCCTGTCCCTCCTAACTGTTATAATAATAAAAATAACGCTCAGACTTTTTCTAGAGTACAGTGTCAGTGGTGTTGTTTTTACAGATAACGACTTCATGTGGCTTTTAAAGAATTTCAAGGCCATGAAATTTGTTGCCATTCGATTAGAATATTTCATATGATGGGAGATTGAAAGATGCAGATTTTATATGGTAAGCCAGCTCAGACTGTGACACATAATGATTTAAAGTGGGAATCTTTACCTGCACGCTGCCGTCTTTGCTCTCAACCTGCTGTGGTTCACGTGAACTGGCAAAACAGAAGAGAGAGAAGACACAGTAGATTAGTCTTTAAACATGCTGGGCATCTGTTGGGTTTCTTTAAAAGAAAAAAGACTGTTTTTTACACAGTGTTTATGGTTGTTATGGGGTATTTTGATGACACCTTTGTAGCATAATTAAAAGGATTTTAATGTGCAGACACTAAGTGATTAATAAGAACAAATAAATAATGATAACAACAACCTGTAAATGTAATTTTATTGCTGAGATAATACAGTGAAAGCTAATAAAGTATCTCGGCAATGACACTTAAATAAATGTGATTTGTGCTCACGGGCACACCCAGTCCTCCAGTGCTGTGCTGTAATGTTTTTGTGTGAAACATTGGAGGGATTGAATGTCTAACACTTTTCACAGCAATGCCGATCAACAGGATCGTCGGCATTCCTGCGCTCTGTCCCTCTTTTCTAAACAGCTTTCCCACTGTCGCAGGTGCACCGAAGTCACACCTCCCGAGCATTCACACAGGCTGCCATGGCACTTTTCACTTAGATATGCTTCACTGTGCACACACAAGATCGCATCCTCAGTCCAAGATGTCTATATAAGGACATGTTGGACCAACAGGAGAGAGTTCAAGGTGTGTCCTGGACTGAACCAATAACGTCAGTGACTACTGCTGACAGGCTATTCCTGGACACATTCATCAATGGGATGCAAATATGCTATAAGGAAAATGCGCAGCACTCGCTAAACGTTATCCACGAGGCATAATGTCAAATATAATTATTATGTCATTTCAGATTGCGTAACCGTGTCTAACCTAAAGTAACCTCTGTTTCTCTCACATTGCTGACATATGGCTATATCTCTGAGCAAAGAATCAGCCCACAGGTGGATGATTCTGAGTTAAACATTAACTCTGAGAATGCAAAGTGACGCTTCCTGTGAGGGACGCGAGAGCTGCAGATCGTTTACTGGATTCCAGAGCGTGAAGCTGAAATATATCAGAACCAGAGAACGGTGCAAAGAGGTCACCTCGTTGTTTATACAAGGAACTAACCATTTCAGATAGTGAACGCAGACAGGGTTCAGCGGTTCAGCTACTGTACATCTGACACTGATGACTGATTGCTCATTAGGCCTCAGAAACAGACCCTTGGATTCTGTTCAGTTATCATGAGACAGACAAAAAGACCCACTGCTGTTAAAGTTTGACAGGATTCATCTGAGATAAGAAGCGACCAATAAATATAACATAGAGTCAGTTATAGGCCAGGTCAGCAGGAATGTACGGAGGAAAACCTCATAAGACACAACAGGTGAAGCCACAAGATCCCTGTTTGATGTTCTCACTCATGCCTCAGGTATTTAAAGCAGTCCTGAAGGTTCCACCTGGTCTGATCTACAGTCAAGCTGAAGCTCAGTGAATCACTGTCTGTGAATGTGTGCTACTGAATCTCACTTGCTGATCACTGCGACTCTACACGTGTATGCAGCGACACACAAAACAGATTGCATTTGTTGTTCTGTTGATGAGACAGACGGACAGAGCGGTGATGGCATGATGTAGAAGCAGACCAGACTGCACAGAGGACCTCGTCACTCCTTCAGCTACAGATCAAGACACTAAACGTTTCATCTAATATGTGTGTTTTGACAGATTAAACTCATTCCTTGCGTACCTGTGTAGACAGGGGTCTAAATTCTCCTTCAGCTCAGGTTGGTGAAGGTGCAGACTCCTGGAGAGTCTCAGGAGGAGGCTGGAGGTGAATCTGGGCCCGGCAGGTTTCTGGATCAGGACCTCTGACTCACCACCGTGAGAAGTCTCGTCCCGTTTTAGGCTGTCCGCTCTTAGTGCTGCAACAGAGGTCGGGGTTACTGTGGGTCTGGATTAAACAGTCGAGGCTGAACAGGTTCTTTATGTGCACAGATGTAAATCTGTGGTGAATGTGTGCATCTCACCTTTGTTTGTTTCCTTCTGTTGGACGGCTGGTTGGTTCTGCTCAGCTGGAACTCCCTCGTCGAGATGATTCTCCTGTTTTCTACCGAATGTTTCATCTTGATCTCCTCTAAAAAAAAAACAAAAAGAACAACACAAAATAGACTCAGAATCAATTAAACTAACTTCACTGCTGCAAAAATGACTCCTGCTGATCAACATGTTTATTACAGGGATCAAATATTTAACATCGGAGGTTTTTTTTTGGTGCAGATTTAAAAACGCACTACTTTGGCTGTGATGCCTCCTCTCTCCATCCGTAGTCACCATTTTATGGTCTGAGGCATCGCTCCATCCACTGAGGGCTAAATGCTGAAACGCCTCTTTTTAATAAGCAAAAATAAACATTTCAATAAAGTCTTTTGTTGGAGTGTTGTTCTACATTTTTAGATTTTTTTTTTAAGATTTACATTTTCCTGTGAATGTATATCTGGTTTAAATATCGGTTTTCGGCCATTTAGTCGGTTATTTAATGTCAGACTTTCCCATTTTTCCTCATTTCATGGCATTAACTATTGATTTATAAACATACAATTGATTTTTAAACTCACAAAAACAGTCTAATTTCAATCCTTCGTACATCCTGGCCTCCTCTTCAGGCTATTTCATTACTGCAGCTCAGAGTTGGATTGAAGCTTTGCAGTGAAAACGGCCTCACTGGTCGTGTTTTACAGAAAGGAAACGATAACCGAGAACCCACGTCCGCTTGCTTCCCGTCGACGTAAACAGTCTGATTTTGTTTCGCTGCTAACAGCTTAGTCTCTGATTAAAGCAGTATTTATAAACGGCGACCTAATTTCACACAACCTCCTGCATGTGACAAGAGTCAGGAAAACACAGAACATCCGTCGGCAGAACTCCTCCTCGTCTCTGTCTGGACACGAAACGCCGATTGTGTTGCTTGTGTGTTCCAACAAACTGGGTAATAAATTAAATGAATTTTGAGCCAGTTATCAGTAATTACAGGCAGCTACGCCCTGTTAAAAGTGAACTGGAGAGACACGAGCCAGCGTAGAAAAGAAGACCAGGAGATCTGATCACATATTAATCTGGGAGCAGAATCACAAGAGACGATGGTGACCACCGATCTTTAACGCTGGTGGACAATCGTGACGAGCTGCACCTACAGTTTTATTTCTCCAGTCTGTTGTAGAATAGAATAGAATAGAATAGAATAGAATAGACTAGAATACAATGGCTTTATTGTCGTCATACATGGGGGCAAAATATAAGTAGCTGCCTCTGGACGGTGCATTGAACTGTTAACAATCGTAAATAATAAAATCAAATGTACATATAAGACGATATTAAGAAACATACAAAAGAGGCAAAATATATACAGAGCAGGGTGGAGGTAATGAGATCAAATTAAAACCATCCATCATCTCTACACCTTAATCCTCACTAGGGTCATGGGGGGCTGGAGTCTATCCCAGCTGACTCAGGATGAAGGCAGGTTCACCTGGACAGGTAACCAGTCTATCACAGGGCTACACTTAGAGACAGACAACCAAGCACACTCACATTCACACCTACGGACAATTTACAATCACCAATTAACCTCAGCATGTTTCTGGACCTTGTGGGAGGAAGCCGGAGAACCCGGAGAGAACCCACGCTGCACGGGGAGAACATGGAGACTCCACGCAGAAAGATCCCGGGTGTCCTCACCGGGACGCCAACCGGCGACCTTCTAGCTGCGAGGCGACGATGCGAACCACCGAACCACCTGCAGCCCCAAATTAAAACCAATAAAATAAAATAAATTTGGGCAGGAGGTTGCAGGTAAGCAGCATGATTAAAAGTGACAGTGTGCGTTCAGAAGTGAGATGGACCATTGGTAGAATGTGTTTCTCAGCCTGATTCCTCCGGTGTGTAAGCAAGCGTAAAGCTGAAGGAGAACCAAACAGCTCCTCTCAGCTTATCAGCCGAACAGAGCGATAAGCGGCGCTTACATAACAATACCACCCTGCTCCCCTCCACACTTTCTCTTACAACCAGAGCTCACACACACCCACTCGCTCTGACACAAAAAACATGCATATGCACATTTACTGCCGCAACCCAGCGCCGAACCCACGCCGGTGCGCCGCCAACCGCCGGTCACGACGACGACACCAGAACAAAGATGAGTCGGTTATCTGCATACGAACGCCACGGCGACCTTTGTTCAGCGACAAAATAAACGACTGCAATTATGTCTCGCGGGACATTCCAGCATCGCCTCCTCCTCGCTTTTTTTTTATTCAGCTCAGCAGTTTAGAGGTGGAGGGAAATTGGAGGGTTTTTATGTAACCTGCGGTGCGTTCAACAAGGTGAAGGGTTTGGGTTTTTTTCTTTTCGTGGAAACATGGGCCGTCACGCAGAGCTTCCACCATCCACCTTCCCTTCAGGGGCGACGCTTTGGCCTCATTAGAGCGTAAATCTCTGGAAAGCTCTGATAAAAGCCTGCCGGGACTTGACATGAGAGGAAAAGCAAAGAGAAATGTGAGGAGGCCGGGCAGGAGGGAGATGCTCCTCAGCAGCTGCCTCGGTGCCAAGGACAACACACCTTCTGAGCCCGACTCTCCCGGAGGCAGCAGCAGAAGTGTAATCACGTTTCAGCTGCATTAGTGCCTGTAAACCTGCAGGAGACCATGTTTGGTAACTGATAGCTCCGTGATCGTGGCCTGAGAGGAAGCCATAAACTGAAGCTGCATAGTTTACATGACAGTGACTCGTATCGGACTTCTTTTCAAATAGCTGTCATGTTTTTGGTTCTGACGCCTGTAAGTCCACGGTCACGTGTTCATGTCTTGTTCTGTGCACCTGACATCCAGGTACTGAATACACGGTGTTCCTTTTCAACACATGGGACTGCAGTCATGGACCTGTTGTTGAGTTTTATGTGCATTTTAGCTTTAAAACAAACATTTTTTACAAGTAAAAATAAACTCAAATTGTTTGTTTACTAAATCCAACAGCACAAAATCTAAGGATATTCTTTTTACGAAAGATTTAAACACGGAAACGTAGTTTTTGAGGGGCAGCAACCAGCATCGACATCCTCCTGTGACTTAAAAGATGAATAATTAAAATTACTGTTTATTATTTTTTTTAGTCTTTGCTTGACTAATCTGTAGATTTACCAGCTGCCTTAACAGTATTTCACCAGGAGGAACTCTGCAGTGAAGGTGCACAAGTAAATCCATAAAAAACAGAAGGATCCTGGAGTTATAAATGCTGTGGTCCTGCCTCTGTTCCTTTTATATTTTTTATTCTACATCAAATAAAGGTTAAAGTGCTGTTCATGTCATAAGGCAGAACAACAAACATATGTGCTGAAATTAGGATGAAAACACACAAAAGCAATTTGTAGAATAACAGAAACACAAGACAGAACTGGATCAATTTGTAAAATCAAATAAACATCCTGAAACATTTACAGACCAACATGTACGCCGTGAGATTGTTCTGAAACGTGTCAACAGAGGAGAACACAGCTCTGGATCTTCTGATCTCTGTCACTAAATCACGGATCTGTTCTGAAGGTTTTATTCTGTCGCCACGTGAAGCACCACCAGCTGAACGTTACAGCTCTTTAGAGCTGAAACTAAGTTAACTGATAATATTTAAATTAAATGTTGTAAATAATCTTCTGAGCAAAACTGCTCCAAATTCCTCCGCTCACTTCCAGCCTCTAAAATTTGGCTCTTTGCTGTTTTCATTTACAGTAAACTGACGGTGTTTTGCTTTCAAACTATAAAAGAACTAAAGAGAGAGTCCTCGTCGACGTGTTCAGTTCAAACACAAACAGATTTCATTTACCGTCAAAGCAGAAAACATTCAAACTAGAAAAGCTGTAACATGCAAATCTCAGTCGTTTTTGCCTTAAAAACACACACACTCATTATTATTTGTTTTTTAATGTGTTGATCTTTGTCACAAACTCCAAACTGCAGCACCAGCATCCCTGATCTGGAGTTAACGATTTGGTCGGCGACACAGAACTAATTAGGAACAGTTTTGAACATCGATCGGCTGTTTGAGGCGACGATGAGCGTTCTCTAGTTGCAGCTTTTTAAATGTGAGATTTGCTGCTTTGGGCTGTTTTGTTTCATAATAAATTGGTCGATAAAACTAAAGATCTGAAGCCGTCATCGAGGGCAACGTGGAATTATAACGGTTATGTAATAGTTAAACGGCAAAGCAGGTTTATTTCTATAGCACAGTTTGTACCCGACGTAATTAGAAGAGCTTCACAGGAAAGTGTAAGACAGCAGATAAAAATCAATCCATAAAAACAGAAATATAATCATTAGTTAGAAGAGAACAGATCAAATACTTTCATATGCACAACTACAATGAACTGTTTTCAGCCTGGATTTGAACATGTTCAGGGTTGAGGCCTGTCTCACGTCTTCTTCTGAAAGACAGTTCAAAAATAAAAATATACTTTTTTAAACTAATCAATAATCAGCACAACTCTGCTCCACAGGAAGACTTTTGTGCGGATGTGGAAGAACAGCACCACTCGATATGCATTTAATGTGAATTTCACCGAGGACGGTTTCTGCAGAAGTTACAGTAGAACCCATGAACCCAGCCGTGACCTCTTATCTCCTGCTGCTGAAACACAAACCAGCTGCAAACCTTCAGCTGCGTGCGATCTGGACGCCGATCCGTGGTTTGTTTTGATGGTTTAAGCCGATGACTAATTGTTATCTCTGAGAGCCTCTTTGGGCGGCTGCATCATGCAACCGTGTGTCTCATGCAAGTATGTTGGTGTATTCTTCGCTGCGAGGTCGGCCCTGCTGTGGGTGTGCGCCCAGATCTGCCAGCTAAGGCTTACATAACCGCAAGGATCCAGCCTAAAACTGAGAGTGTGGGCGTGTGCTCAGCACCGACAATCGCATGTAATATTCCAACTGCTGAAAAATGATTAACACCCTAAACCTGAAGTTTCATCCAAGGAGAACTTAATGGCTTTGCGATGACTGCAGCGGCGGTGACAAGAGGCGGCTGGGACACGGTGTGACTCGCCGCCACACCTTCACCACCTGTCAGGTTTCCAAAGGGACTCTTTACAGATACAGTAGCTGGGTTTAAGGTGGACTTAGTGAGAGGATATGCAGACAATAAACAAGAGTTGTAGCTCCGGACATGCACAGACAGCAGCTGTGTGAGTGCAGGCCTGGCTTTGCATGTATGAGCTCGCCTGCTTCAGCCACTGAAACACAACAAGCTGGTGGTTTGCTGGCTCAGTGCATGACAAACACATGCACCCACACAAATGCAGGCTCCGGCATAAATGTTGGGTCCACAGCCTGATCCGTGCACAGTGTCAAAGCAAACAGTCCAAACGCAGTTGGAAGTAAACTTGAGCTTAGATGCGTCACGTTTTATGAGTTGGGAGTTCAGCATGTGGCCCCAACCAGAGCCTGTTCAAAAATCTGACAAGTTGAGCAAACTGACCCCCAAGGCGACAAGACGCTCATGCGTGGAGTGGAAAGGTGTTCACTCAGGAGGAAAACACTGACATTCATCCAAAATAGTTTCTGACACATATTGGTCACATTCCTACGTCTCCTCTAAACTCACTCCCGCTTGTCAGTCCAGTCCAGTATGGTGGACCGCAGCTTTCAGGCAGTGAGCTGAGAAAATAACACAACATGACCCGAATATCTCAAAGCCGAATTCACTTACATGAAGCCTTGATTCGTGAGAAGTTGTCGTTGAGCTGTCAGGAGCGCGTGTGTTTCCAGAAAAAGCCTTCCGACGTTAAATGTGCAGATTTTTAAACGCGGTTCGGCGCGAGGTTTCTCTTCCCTTCACGAGAGCGTCTAGCATCGCGGTGAGGAGGTGAACGGAGTGAAGCGGAGTGAACGGAGTGAAGCGAAGTGAGCGGCAACACTCAGCAAGTCGGTAAAAAGCACAATAAGTACATGTTAGGAACAGAAAGGACGTGTTCTCTCCTACCGTGCGGCTGCGGTCCGTGTGTCTGTCCCGTACAGAGGCGTAGCTGTCTCTCCTCCTCCTACTCCTGCTCCGAGCTCCGGCGCTCCTGCGTCACTTGTTGACATCCTATTTTAACCGGTTTAGTCAGCCTTCAGCTCCACACCGGGCCAGCGGGGCATCTCACAAATGCAGATGCTCACAAGTCGATCGGAGCTTCGTCAAGTGTCCCAGAGAGGCAAAGCGACGGCCGGCGGGTCAAAGTTCACCGCGTCCCGTGAGGGGCAGGTGGAGCGGAGGCACTCCCGGAGGCACGAGGCCAACTACCGCCACCTACCCCCCACCCCCCGGTCCGGCCTTCCCGGCACCGGCCGCCTCTCCGGGACTCTGATCTTATCACCTCATACACGACAAATCCAGGCCTGGGAGTCAACAGGCAGCGCTGGGTGTTCAGAAAGGACAGTTTAAAATAGATAAATAAAAATAATATATACAGATATACCATCCCACCTGTGGCAACTGCTGAGAGCCTGTAATAAATCAGCTTAAAAACAACAAAAAGAAATGTTAAAATCATACATTTATGAAGGAAAAGTGTACAGATGTCCAGATACACATTTCTAAATTCCAAAACCAGCTTTAACTGATCAAAAAATATTATTCCATTTTTTTTTTCTATATACACCGCTTAATCCTCACTAGGGTCATGGGGGGCTGGAGTCTATCCCAGCTGAAGGCAGGTTCACCTGGACAGGTAACCAGTCTATCACACATACACTTAGAGACAGACAACCACATTCACACCTACGACAATTTACAATCACCAATTAACCTCAGCATGTTTCTGGACTGTGGGAGGAAGCCGGAGAACCCGGAAAGAACCCACGCTACACGGGGAGAACATGGAGACTCCACGCAGGAAGATCCTGGGTGTCCTCACCGGGACGTGAACCGGCAACCTTCTTGCTGCGAGGCAACAGTGCTACCAACTGCGCCACCTTGCAGCCCTTGCAAAAATATTATAAAACATGAAAATATCACCCTGGACTGAGTTGGACATTAAACTGTAAAACAGCACCAGGACCAACATAACTAGCAAATAATACGCTAAAGCAGGTCCAGTTGAAAGAATACACTTGAGGACACTTGCTAAGTAGTGATGCACGATATTAAGATTTTTGGCCGATACCAATATTAGATATTAAGATGTCTGATATCGCCGATAGCCGATATTAAAGATGTCGATATTCAATTTTTGTTCACACGAAAAATGAGTATAAATAAGCACTGTGAGAAAACTATTCAGAAGAAGCCCCAGATTAGACCACATAGTCTTCATTACGTAACAAAAGTAAAACATATTTAAACCTATTTAAGTCCAAGACAATTTAAGTAAAAACATCTGTGAAACAGCAGCAATATCAAACATAGAGACGAAGGCGCTGATGTTAGACAATCATCGGCTAAATTTGTTCATCGGATCGATACCAATATATCGGAAAAAACCCTAATACTGGCCGATACCGATGTGGTCGCTGTTATATTGTGCATCCCTAATTTAAATTATATATTAAACAAAATAAATAAATAAATAAATAAATCAGCACGAAGATGTAATAAAGCCTTCATTCAACCTTCTGTTGGTTTTAATTGGAGGTCCATTTATATCCAGAACTTCTCATCAGTCAGTTAGAACTGATGAATGGGTGAGAGGTGGAACATTTTCAGAAACCAAAATGAAAGAGGTCAGTTACCTTCGACCTGAACGACTGAAAACCTACCCAGACATAAATATTAATAAAGGAGCATCTTTACCTTTGGAGGTCTCACCTCATGAATCATTTTGATCCATTCAACCTTGGTAGTTATGATTCATTTTATTTAAACACTTTGATGTCACCTTTACTTTAACTGCAACATAAATAATTTATGATACATGCATCTATTAAACTGCAGCAAAACGTATTAGATATGAACACATTATAAAAACGTCAGCAGGAAGTGACGTTCATCTGCATCATCATCTCAGCAGAACAACAGCGATACACACCGTCTGTGTGACACATCGAGATGGCAAAGCCGACTGACTCAAAGTCACGTTTTAAATCCAAACTGCATCAGAGGAATCTGCGTCAGAGCGAGAATCATCCACAAACGGTGATGTTCGAATGATGCGTCTGACTTTGAAACTTTGCAGCTGAGTGGTGGACCACCTGAGGGAACTTCTATCACACACATGCTGATATTTTTAACTGTTTGATTTCATGCATGTGTCTGTACCATTATTTTATTTCTATTTTTCAAATCAGTACACTAGCAAGGATATTTTAGGTATGTTTGATTTTTGCAAAGATGTGTCCCAACATATATTAGACTTACAGATTTGCTTAATAAAGTAGGCCGCAGATGACTTTCAGCGTAATGATGCACCAATAAGATGCATTTGCTGACACTTATTTTTTCCGATGGAAGTTATTATATCAGCTACTACAAGACAAATATCCCAAATTACAACCAGAGATGTTTTTACAGATTTGTTTCCAGTAAAACATCTTAACTGCAGCCACATACCGACATAATAAAGAATGAAAAATCAAATATAGTGCTTTCATTGCTTTGAACTGAGCAGCGGACTACCATAATAGTTCCTCAAAGCCTTCAACCAGTGCATACAGTTCATGTTTGACATTCTCAAAGAACAGGAGAGCATATATGAGCAGCTCGAGCAGCTCAGGAAGGAAGAACCGAGTAAAAAGGAAACCAGGACATGCCAGAACCAGATCTACAAAGGCCGGCAACGACCATCTAGTTTGTGTAGTCTGCGGCGATGGAAAGCACAAGCGAAGGCTCTGCTTCTGCAAACAGTTTGGAGAACTTAAGCCAACAATCCAAAAGGCTGCAGTAAGACAGCTGGGAGCACTGAGGTTCATGATGACAGCTCACTCTGCAAACCTGCTCACCTGTGTGCATTCCAGAGCATCATGACTACCTGTGTCCTGACGCTGAGACCAAGAGAAGGAGAACTGGTCATAAAAAGAGCAGCTTCAGTCCAGATGAAGATAAAGGCAGGAAAAGATCACAGAGGATCAAGAGGAGTTCTTAAGTAAACCCTCACACTGTAAAAAATCGAGTTTACTCGTGGATAGTGGAACGCAGGAGCTTCCAGGAATCATGATGCTTCTAGAGGTCGCTGCAAATACTGGACAGAAAACTGGGACATTAATTGACTTCTCCTCTGACACCAGTTACACAACCCACAAGGCTGCAACAGACTGCACCTCAGAAGTGAAGTAATCACTTTCATCGTTCATGGAGTCGGAGGGATGAAGGTTCCCGTCGAGACACAGTGGTACCTTCGAGTGGTACCCACTTTTCCTTTGTGTTTGTGTTTTTAAAGGTTTTTGAACCATATCGACTTCTACCCTGCTGCCTTGCTGAATTGAACAGCTAACTGCAAAATAAAGAAGAAGAAAACAACGGCTATCATTTTTAATAAAACGTTGTAAACACACTTCTGCACTGATTTCATTTTTAACAAGCGCTGCGTCATTTCATAACTGTGCTCAAGGTTTATGTTCCTCGGCGTTCACGTGGGTTGTGATTCTATTTTATTTTTTCTCTTTCACAAAACAAACCTTTTTTTTTTTCTTCTATTGCTTCCACACCCTCCACCACTTGCCAGAAACTCTTGACAGCTTTGGCTCGGTGTCTGCAGGGAGAAAAGCACCATCCCTCCTCCTGTCCTGACACATTGTGTTTTAGATTTAGTGTAAAGATCAAGTCAAGTGAAGCCAGCGTTATTAATTAGGCTCATTTAAATCAGCAGACATCGAGTCAAAGTGCTTTCCAATAGAGAAATAAGATTAATGTTCCAAAGGCGGCCTTGGAAGTTTACATTTTAAGGTTAAGACCCCACAATATTATACATCATACAAATTCATCTGACTAATTATAAAAAAATGAAGGTTAAGGCCGTACGGTGCGATGGAGAGACACCCAGCGAATCAGATCATCTCCACAACACCTGGTGGAGATGAGGAACTCCTTTTTGAAACTTCCAGCAGGGCCCGGCTCAGGGAGGGCAGCCATGTGCCTCGACCTGTTGCGGTGGAAAAGGAGTGGAGAGAGAAAAGAAAGCCGACAGACAACAGACAAGACGACAACAAAGACTGGGCAGGTCGGCGAGGCCTGTAACTGCACATCAGAAACCACAGGAGAGAGACGACACGAAGCTCCATCCAGCAGTGGCGCAGAAGTGCATGGAGGAAGTGAAAAGTGTTGCGAGCGTAAACAGATGTTATGTCAACCGCATGAACAGAAAAGCAAAGCTAAAGCATACTGGCGAGATTAAAGAAGAGCTAGAGCTGTAAAGGCGAAGGCGAAAGAGAAAACTGAGTAAAATTATGTAACTAATCGATCCAAAACAACAGGGCGGGTCTCAGGAAGAACAAGTCGAAACAAGGTGAGCCTTTAATCATGATTTTTAATTGCCAATAGTGCAGGATTTAATGTGAAACCGGAGACTGCTGCAGATCCTGGATGCCGTAACTGAAAACGCCCCGTCACCTTAACCGTGATGTTGACCTACGTGACCTAGGAGCAGATGATGATGTCAGCATATTGGTTTGCTTTGTGGAGCTAAAGCACTGAGAGCTTTAAAAACAAAAACTCTATTCTGTATTTTACTGGAAACCAATGCGCCACAACTGGGTAATGTTCTGTCTTTGTACCAGTTTGTGGGCTGGCAGCTGCAGGCTTCTGTCCTAGCTAACTCCAGTCAGCTAACATAACATCAAGTCACAGTAGCAAGATAATAAATGCAAAGGTAACTGTTTCAAGGTCCTTGAAGGATAAATCAGCTTCAGTTTGGTGACGGATCTGAGCTGGCATAAGCTGACCCTCACACTGCTGCCGTTTATTGTGTATGTTTGTCCTGTTTATTGAAATAAAAATGGAGTCATGTGTTTCATACAAGGGGGCAGGTGCATTGCTGAGGCTATTAACATAATATCATCAGATTTGTTTTCATTAAGAGGCTCATCAGTGAACACACCGGGTCTGGTACAACTGGAAGATAAAACTGATGTCATAACGCACGCAGAGAGAAAGTCAGTGGCTCCAAGATAGAACCATGGGGGACGCCACA